AAGCTCTACACTGGGATTAACTGACCCAAAGCGAGTTTCAGGATTTTGTATCAAGTGTTTGGTTGTTGAGTATTTACCGATTGGAGTATTATTAAGATTATCTATGAACGCTTATAATGTAAGTTGTTGCTTCAGGACTGGCCTGCGTCAACACCTGAACTAAGGGTAGGCAGTGAAGAAGTCGAACGCGCTGAAAACTTCACTTACCTTCAAAGTCTGATCAGTCCTAATAGGTTGGTGTCTGACGAAATTTCAGCACGGATTCAAAAAGCTCGTTTAGCTTTTACCGAGTTACTTCATCTATGGCGAAGGTTAGATATCTGTCTATCGATTAAGGGACGAGTATACTGCGCGACAGTTCGTTCTGTTCTAATTGACGGCTGCGAAACATGGCCATTAAGGGTGAAAGACACTCATAAGCTACTAGTATTTGACCACAGATGCCTTAGAAATATTTCCCGCATATGCTGGGATCACCGGGTAAGTAATAGTGAGGTTAGACGCAGGGTATTAGAAAATGATGGCAAATCAGTTGATGAGGTTGTGAATCTTCATCGATTGAAATGGTTTGGTCACATGTTACGTATGCTTGAACACCGATTATCACGACGCGCAATGCTGACTAGTGTTGGGGATGGTTGGAAGAAAGTTAGGGGTGACCAAACTAAAACGTGTCTTCAGTTCATAAATTAATTGCTTGAGGTCACTAACTTCTGTTGTGAGCCATGTTGGTAGATGCAGACTACTTGGTTGGGGTCCGCGTGACTATCATAACCAATGGTTGGAGACTCTATGTGACATGACTCAGGTGTATACACTTTCTGTCTTCCTTTAAACTAAGAGATTAAAATCGCTTCGTATTTTTCTTTCTATCAACTAGTTCTTTCTTCCTATACTTTATTCTTATCACTGATTGAAATCATGAGTCAATTAAAGCTAGACCACTATGGGAAACCTGGAAACACTGAGCGGCCGTTTCGTCCTCGTAAAGGACTCCTCAGCAGTGCGCATCCACGATCCCGCTCGCGGGATTCGGGCCCAGGGCATTCGGTCTCGCGCGCGAAGGCTTAACCTACGGGACCAGGTCTGTTGTGAGATATCAACTCACTGAAGACAATGGTGTACGGTGGAGCAACTTCGTGGATTCGTTGAAGTTAGACATTAACACCGTTGGATGCCGGCTGTGGTCTAGTTGGTTAAGCGCCTGGCGCGAGACTGATAGGTCCTAAGATCAAATCTCACGGGGTGCGGGATCCTGGATGCGCACTGCTGAGGAGTCCCATGATAGGACGAAACGGCCGTCCAGTGCTTCCAGGTATTTCATGGTGGTCTAGCTTCAATTGACTCATGATTTCCATCAGTGAAATTTCTAAAATCTCCACAAAATCCCTTTTGACTATATTCTTATACACAATTTTTCCTTTTTATATTATTATCATTGAATTAACTACTGTGAATCCCGTGTTCATCTTGCTGTGAAATTGAGGTATGGCAACCTGGACCGATAAATATATGTCCATGATCCTACGTTGTGGCTGACTGACTTATAATGGGAAAGTGACTTTAATGCATGTTTCAAAAAACATCAGTGATTTAGTACTTGTGATTATCTTTGCCTTTGTGTTAGCAGCTATGTCTCACACCATATCACAACTGAAGGATCACCTGAAACGTGGATTTAAAAAAAGTCAGTGATTTTGTCCGCTATATCTAATAACCAATATATTTGTCACAAGCTTGCATAAACTGATTGATTTGTTCGCTCTTGCTTCTTGTTATTTTGGTAAGGTCTTAGGTATTTAGTAATATCTCATGGATTTTTTCTACCTTAAAAATTCTGCCACTATAATCTTTTCAGAAAACTTCCCTGTCTCATGCATCAACGACAACCGTAACCGGCAAAAGTGGCCATCTATCATACATAACTGATGTGATGACGATAGACTGTCATCTCGTCAACACAAGCAGGAATAAACGTTCGTCCCACGAATACTAGGGACGGTTTACACGAATAGGTCTTCATCTTATAGACGGCAGACAGAAACCTGACCGTCACCTTCGATAAGATATATGTTCAACTTGTCGTGGGTTTCCACAAACCAATTCACCAGATTTTCTTTACGGCAAACGTTTTTCGCTAATCATTGGTATAAACCTGATACAACACCGTAATCTAATGATTCACTCAAACAAATGAAAGTATTAGGAACTTCATTTTCGTGTTTTAGCTTATGTTAAGTCAAGGTTAAGCAGAAACTAGATCTACACCTTAAACGGATGCTCAACAACTACCATGAACTTAAAAACACACGAACAAAGCTGCCGTGTGATAGCAGCTATGCCACACACCATATCACGACTAAAGGATCACCTGAAACGTGGATTTACAAAAAGTCGGTGATTTTGTACTTGTTGTGATTATCTTTGCTTTTGTGTACTTGTCGCTTCAAAAAGCACTCTTGGTCTACTTTAAATTGAAGTATTTCCGTTAAGGTTTGAAATTTTGCTAAACTTTGTCTTGTAGTACTTTCTTTCTCATTAACTCTGACACTTGCGTTCAGAATGTGTTTTAAACATTAATCTGATTACAGTAGTCGGCAGTACTTATAAGTGTGAACAGCTGAATTGTTTATTCTCCATGGAGGAAGGAATGCAATGCGATGAATGTAATAAGTGGTTCCATAAGATGTGTACCCGCTTAAGTCCCACCGCATACAAAAGATGCTCGAAGCCAAACTCGCATTGGCTTTGTATATTTTCCTGTACGAACAAAACATTACTAATCCCGGAGGCTATGAGCATATTATCTTTGACCTGTGCGAAGAAAGATGATGGAATGAAAGCAAAAAATCTATAAGATACAACCACTTGGTTGGCAAGTGATTGATGAACTCCCATTCTGGGTCATAAATACACTACCAAAGTCTGATAGTAAGACAGAACTCCACCCTGGCGTGGCTAATGAGAATTTAATCTCATCGAATATTATTGTAGGTAATTTGCTGTTTAATATGCCCGAGGCAGGCCAGACTGCCAAGAGACTGGAAAGACCCAATGATTAGTCTGATGTATAGAGCGGGGAACAGAGACTCAATAACTATCGACCCGTTAGTCTAGCCAGTGTAGCTGTCAAACTAATGGAGAGATTATTCGGATGGCTGCTATAAATTATGTAGAAGGGCATTAGACATCGATGTCAAACGCTTCGGGTGTGGCACCCTAAAAACACCACTTGCTTCGGTCTGAACACCCGTGCAATATCACAGCCTACTCACAAATTAAGTGACATATGGCGCACACGTATTTGTTGCTTCTTTGTACCAACATTTATGTGTTGAAAAATAAATAAATAAAATTTCAGTATTTGAACTAAACAATCTTGAGATTATAATACCCGACTTTCGTGAGACCGCATTTGGAATATGGAAGTCGAGCAACGGGTCCTTGTTTCAAGTACGAGGCGGATATGCTAGAACGAGTCCAATGACGAAGGATAAAAACGGTAGATCTCTCTGGCCTATCTGATCAAGACAGACTGATACAACAACTTATTCCCATTATCTTACCGTAGATTACGAGGTGAGCAAATATTGGCTTATTATATAACGAACGACGACCTTGGTATTAATATGTCTTATCTTTCCCTTCCGTCTAGGACTGATCATTTGAGAGGACATCCTAAGAAGTGTTAAAAACCGAGGTCATATCGTTGACGTCTGGAGTTTTGTTTCTTGCACCGATTTGTGAATTACTGGAATTCCCTACCAAAACACATATCAGCACCCTCTATCGATATATTTAGAACGAGACCGATCCTCTACAGTGCTACGAACTGCAAGGATTATTATAAATCGATAGACCTATCCGGCGAGACTAATTTAGCGACGAGCCAATCAGAAGACAGTATAAAGTAAAAATATATTGCAAGAAAGTAATGAATTACAGTGGATATTCTTCTTTTACATGATTCAAAAACTTGTTGAGGTTTGATAAATGCTCAGTTCTGAATTGATAATGCGTATTGTATAGAAACTCGTTCATAGGGTTAGGGTTTGCGGTTAAGGGCTAGGTTAAGATTAGGGTTTAGGGTTAGGTTAAGGTTAGTGTTAGGTTAAGCTTAGGGTTTAGGGTTAAGGTTAGGGTGCTAACATGCGATCGGTTTACATCGGATTTTAGAGAAGAGGTGTTTTTTTGACAGGCCTCAACCCCGCCCTGACCCTAACCATAACCCCAAACCCTCACCCCTAACCTTAACCTCTAAAATCCGTTGTAAACTGATCGCATGTTAGCACCCTAACCCTATGAACGAGTTTCTATACCATATGCATTATGAATTCAGAGCCTCTGAACCTTTATCAAACCTTAACAAGTTTTTAAATGATGTAAAAGAAGAATATCCACTGTAATTCATTACTTACAATATGTTCTCACTTTATACCAACTGTCTTCTGATTGGCTAATAATTGTCAAGGTCATTTAAGATTCGTTCAAAGGTCGTCGCTAACTTAGAGTCTCGCCACCTATCCTTATTACTGAAGACTAAATACGATTACTGAAAATACAAAAGCTCAGAAAACTACGGTTCTTGTTATCAAAAGCTCAAAAAGAGCATACAAGACATGCCAATATGTATTTCGAACGGCTTTATGAGACGATAAAAGTGACTAAGTCAAGGTCCTATACGAGATGGTATGAAGTGAGATGTCAAATTTCGGAGTAATGATAATCAGCTCGGAAATGATTTATCACGCCAAATACACACGCACTAACCTCTCCATTGTAAATACCAGTATTGATGCTGATGAGATGAAGATTTCATACCCATTCATACGACTGAGAATGCTTACCATTAAAATAGAACTTGCATGATCATTGAGATTCTATTGAAATTATACACATATATATGTCAGCCTAGTCACAAAAAACAGGTCTGAAAATATGGTAAGATACACAAACACTTTCAAACCAGGCATCAAACAAAGAAATTGATAATGATTCACCTGAGAGACATCCAAATTTAATAATAACTGTTCTTTGACAGGGGGCACTGAAATAATAGGGTCGCCTTCATGTTTTGATTTACAGCCATTTTCAACAACGTTAGAAGGCTTTTGGGCCAAATTATTTGATGAATTCGACGGTTTAACGTCAGGACTTGATAAGTCTAACAAGTCTACTTCGTGATCTTCAATAGACATCCTTGAAGTAACGCATTAATACTTGATACCGCAACACTTTGTAGGGTATCAATATTAAGCAGTAAAGTATTAAACGTTAAATAAGTATCTGTATATGTTGCCGTCCAAACGTTTTATCTTCTCATATTAAATATTCGTACTTGGCTGCCTACATCTAGCTCAAAAATTAAGTTACAAATCATTCTTAATTTGTATGCATGACACTCCTCAGCAGATATCGTCTGATTTATCGCTTTTTGTTGGCGATTAAAAACTCTGGAGAGAAGCTTGCAACCAAGACGATAGTCTGGCACTTCAGGAGGATCTGACTTGTTTTCAGAGTTGAGCGGACAACAACGGACTTACTCTTAACACTTCATAATGTAAAGTAGTACTTCCGAGACATGCGCAGATTGCGAATATAACTTAGCAGACTACCTTCAAGAAGTGTCTTAACTGAAAAACGTTTGAAGGTGTCGGTACACTATGATCTTAAGTTTTACGCTAACCGTGACAGAATGTTTTTTGTGCAGACCTTGCATCGATAACGTTGAAGCGCATGTTTGGACAGTTCGACGTAAGACTAAGTATACATTGGAACATATCGAACGGCGAGCCACGAGATCACTTCACGGACTCGAATTCAAACCTTGTGAGGAGCTCCTCAAATCAGTGGACGTTCACCCGTTATAGTATGGGGTCTCAGAGGTGACCTTCTAACTACTTACAGCATCCTAAATATTTCTGGGCATCTCTTTAAATACCTACCTAAGCTCAGTCTCAACATAAGCCCTACAGTAACACCAAGAAACTGAAGTCACAACATAGCAGAACGGACTGTAGACACACCTAATTCTTAGGAGTAATCAAACTCTCAAATTCGCTGTTGGCTGGGCTAGTTCAAGCTACTTCCCAGCGGTCATTTGAGTGAAGAATTGAAATAGTCTTAAGGACTAATAAAAATATCTCGCTGTAATCTACGAATATATTTTTCTCTTCTAACTTTAAATTTCCCTACGTTCCCACTCGACGGTTCCGGTAATCTACAGTTACTAAATACGGAAGCCTGCTGAACAAAAGCTTCTTTTCATCCTGGATCATATAAGACCATTTGAATGCTTACGATACAATCACTTATTTATATGATTTAGTCTATTAGATTTCGTTCAAAATAATTGTAAGAACTATGTTATTAAGAATACTTCGAGAATGTCTGTTGACAGTCCATAAGATGAGAATCATGTTTAGGTAACAAAAAAACCCCAAATATACGATCGGTTTTGTGAAGAAAGTGATTCAGAGGATATTAGATAGATTAGCCCAAATCTTCAGATAACATAATGTCATGATGAATATTGAGTGTTAAAATATTTTTTATTGGATTGAAAAGTGGTTATTTTCCTCTATAATAGTACCTGTTTCACTTACTTTGCCCATTATTTGCGTGCTGAACATAGTTTTTATAACTAGCTTACAAAATACTCCATTTAATTATTAACTTACGTATATATATATATATATATATATATATATATATATATATATATATATATATATATATATATAACAAAGAAGGGAAACACTTAATATATAAGTGCATATTTATTTCTTGTTGTTGTTTAAAAATCCCAATATGTTCCCTCCAAAGCATGAAAGTCATCAGTTTTATGGTGAGTTTAAACTATTTTGATGATTTTTCAATTAGGATTTCCAATTTTTCATTGTTATGTCTCAGCAAAAACTCGTGCAAATTGATAGAAATTTGGGTTGAACTAAATAATTTGTGTGACCCAGCACTTGATTCTGTAGCACGCTGAATGTGATATTCTAGTTTTCGAATGCAATAATCGGTCGAACACTTTTAAGTCTCTATCTATATATGTCTTTGACCTTGTCTGTCATAAGCTTATAAACCCGATTATTTTTATCTGCATGTATGTGTAATATTTAGTTAGCTTACTCTCTCTGTCTAATGATGGTATTTATACCAAGTAATAATTCAATTTTTTGATTCTGCTATCATTACGAACCTAAGATATAGTAGGTTTGCTCGTGCTCAACGGGTTCCACCTGTTTTTCTTTTGGCTGTACTAGAAATTCCTAGATACCATATTGGTGTCGCGATGGTGTATCATTTCACCCACAATTGGGTCTTTTTACGTTTAATGTTTTAAAGCCCTTCAGTAAATTTACTTATCAAACAGTGTCATTAGAAAGGTAACATTGTGTCTATGTCTTTGCATTATTATTTGCACGTGTGTATGAACACGTATGGTTGATCACGTGTCACATCCTACACTTGTATTACTCTTATTAGGTTAAATAATAGCTGCTTAAATCACTAGTTGGATCGTTCGCTTTCCTGTGCACGTGTGTCTGATTCCTATCATTTCATCCGAATTTTAATTCACCGCTGCATTCGCTTGCTTGCATTCAAACGGATACTCATTTTTGCTTGGATCCACTTTGTGTTTGTGGTGATCTGTGCTGTAATATAACAGTGTTATCAACGCTTCGTATTATCTCTATAATTATATGCGCCTTTGAAAGTTATCTGATAACTGTCATCAAGATAAACGATACACAAAGTTTAAGGAAAACTGTCTACGATAATCCACTACGATGGCGCCTGTTTGAAAGGTTAGATATACATTTTTATTTTGAAGCCTTCAAGAACTACATTGAAATCCTTAAAATCTGGAGCATCGCCAGGAAAGATGTTAAAGATGATCATGTTCCTACGTTTATAGGAAAAGATGTCTACTGGTTATTTATTAATTTGGCGTTTACGGATAATGCTGTTCCAACTTCTATGAAACCGTCAAGGAAATACTATTAAGTCATACAAAGCGCACAAACTTTGAATCTATTGATAGAGCGAAATTTCATAAAAGGATCCGTCAGAATAGACAGATGGTTGGTTATTTTATCCACGAATTGTAGAAACAAGTCGTCAAATGTATTTTTTCAGATTGAATTCATATCCAGGTATGTGATCGATAAATTGAAGTGATTAACATACACCCAGCTACCGAAATGCTCCTTCCAAGAACACAGAACTGTTTATATTAATTTTCAGACAAAGCACGACACCGACTCCCAGGATATGAAGAATTCCGCCACACGACTTAATTGTTATAAATCGACTCATACTACGAAAGATTTAATTAATAATAACCCCCCTTTTCTCAAAAGCACGTGAAATAATTATTAGAAGTAGTAGAAAGCTGTAAACAAGAGCGATCACAAGCTTGGTAGGTGTCTACTATGTGGTAAACTTCATTCACGTAATTGATGTGCATAATGTCATGCTTAGTACTTTCTATGTAGCAAATCGGACTCAACAAGTTGATGTGTATAACTACTGTTCATTTTGCCATTAGTGCTAATAAACCACATAATTCGGTTTTGACTAAGTTCAGTGCTTCTAATGATCATTTGTTTTGTCCACAATTTTTAAAGATTTTCGCGTCGGTAGATACCACTCGTTTTATCTATAAAACTAATAGTTACAGCAAGTTTTTATTCAGATCATGGAATATAACAGTTGTAGTACGAGGTTCACTTTCCAGCACAACTTATGGATTTGCAAGGTAATTTTTAAATTCATGAACGGTTATATAACTCCCTTTGTTCATTCCATTTCATTTTTGTTACCCATACTCCACAAGACTCATTATTTCATTCGGATACTTAATATCTTTAGATTCTAACGTGGGGTCTAACGAATGAAGTCTCAGCATTGAGATTTACTGGACTCCAACTTCTGTGAACCGCTAGTTAAAAATGAAAGTTCTTCCAGAAACAGTACTCAAAACATTTAATGATTTGTGCGCAAAATAATTTTTGAACCAATCCAGTCTTCAGCTTAGGTTTTCCTATCGATACACCTTTGAAACGTGACAGCAAAATACCTAAATAATTTGGCGAATACCACTGTCTGTTGAAGCTAACATGCACCACAGTGGATGTTGAAGATATTCTCTATCGATGTAACAGAAAGAGAACGCTGAAAATCCCTCGAGAGTATTTCATTGGAGAGTAATGTAATTTATTTGTTTCTTCACCGTCTTTGATTCTGATCTTTATCATGATCTCTTTTTTCCCAAGTCAAGGCTTTTGTTATTTGATCCCGGTTAAAAATGTAGCTTTCCTTGTTAATTCACTGTCGCTTGTTTCCAGACCATCGGTAATAAGGTCGTGTCTGACTAAATTCAAGGTAACGACTCGGTTTTTCGTGCCTATAGGTAACCCTCGTGTTATTGATAGAAGAAACCAGACAAGTAGCGAATAGGTCTTTATTTTAGATCGTCGCGCATTTACAGTGAAGCGTGGGATTACCTGTTCAGACAAACAAAGCCTCTCGATATTAAACATAAGATAATAGGAAATATAACGCCTATACAAAATAAGGAAGTGAATGAATACTTGAACTGTACTGTTTTGACACATGCTTAATTGTTTGAGGTCAACTCTTAACCAATCAACCTAAGCTGTTACAGGTTCAGTATATGGCTGTCAACCATTGACGTTTTGCTTGGAAAGGTAGCCGGAGTTCTTGAAGACAGATATCTGATTCAATCTTATTTATTTTCGGGTATCAGACTCTTGTTTATTAATCATTCCTTCTGTTGTTTAGCACCTAAGTTTGTGTTAGGGAATTTTTTTACTGCATAGCACAAGCTTTACCACTGAGATATTTTGTACCTTTGAGATGATTTGCTCATTATTATAATGAATCCGTATGAAGTGAACACAGAGCTCGTGTTTTGATACGATTTATTACGAATCGCTCAAAAACTCTTCGTACTTTACACAGAAAAATGTATTTTGGCCTAATCGAGTAAACTTTGGTTCATTAGTTCTGCATTCAAACCGAATATTGGTATTTCGTTCGTTACAATCGACTTCATGGTTTCAAGGCGTTCTCAAAAACTGAGTTAATTTATGCTTGTCTGCAAATCCCCTTGGATTAGTTTCAATCTATTTTGACACGAGTTACCACTTTAACTCTATTTTCCATTTTGTATAAGTTGTTCTTCAGTCATAATTCAGGAATTATTGAGTAATGTAGTCAATGATCTTACGAAACTACGTTCACCGGTGGGTGCTTCTCAGTGTGATTCTTATTTTATTCCAAATTTTTTCTTTAATGTTACTTGTTTATTTTAAATCTTGATATCTAATTAGTTGAAATGAGGCGAAGAACAAGGCTCATGTTTAAGAGACCTTTGTTAGTTTCGTTAAAGAGATGATATTCCTCGAACGCATTTTTTTAGCGTACATTCTCTGCTTATTGCTGATGCATCACCAGTGGGTATTAGTGCAGTTTTGGAGAGGGGGGTAAATCATCAGTCCGTGTACTCAGTGCTATACAAAATGTTAGGTTTCTAACCTGTGACGTAAAAATCTTGTTTGTTTTTACGAGTGGGATAAATTATTCACTACTAGTGATGCTATTTCGCGTTGGTAGCCGGAGAAAAATGCAAATGTGGGTTGTACAGCAAACAATTGTGAAAGATGTCACAAAGCAAAAAATCTTTCCTCAAAATGGACTTCACATCCAATACCATTAGAGGCCCTGAAGAGGATTCGTGCAGACTGTTGTGGTCCAATTCTCGGCAAATACTAAGCAACTGCGGTCAATGATTCTTCCTCTGAATGACTTGAAGTGTTTTTTGCGATGTCATTGGACCGATACATTAAAAGGATCGTTCAGTCGGGAGCTTCCTATTGTGTTATTGATTATTAATGGCCCTCATTTTTCTGCAGATGCATTTGTTACGTAGTTGAAGAGTATATGATGTAAACATCTGTTCACTGGTCTCAGACTGTCTTGTTTCAGTGGTCGAGCATAAAATTTCGTCACAAAATTGGGAAAATCGCTGAATCAACAATAGAACCGGAGATCGGGGTCGACACATTGCTATGGAGATATAGAAGTTCTAAACATTCCGTAATGAAAGGGACCCCGCCAAAATTATTATATAACAAGATTTTTTGTAGGAACGTAAAGTGTTCAGAGTTTGTAGAGACTACATATTGTCCTCAAAATGATCTTTACCAGCCATGAGATTGTGATGAATAACGTAACAAAATTTATGGTTCAGCTTCGAGAAACCAACGATTTAACAACAAACACCCGACACGTTGAAAAGATACAATTTCATGAACCAGACGATACAGTGTTTACAGTTGACCTAGGGAGAATACACATGATAGTTCGTGGATTGGTTGAAATTAGACATTAAAGGCGATGGATGCCGGCTCAGTGGTTTAGAGGTTATACATTCACACGTGAAACCGAATGTTCTGGGGTCGAATCTCGCATGCAGGGTCGTGGATGTGTACTGCCGAGGAGTCCCATACTGGGTCAAAATGGCCATCTAGGGGTGTTCCAACACAGTTAGACTACGAGGATCTGGATTCCTATAACATCTGTAGAGGTTTAGGTATTTGTTCTTGCTGATTATTCTTTTTATTATTATGTGCTCACTTTTCCTCACCAAGCTGTCTGTTTTAAATTTGGCTACTTTTTTCGGACTTTCTAGTCAGCACATAAACTTGACCACTTCCAATTATCAAAACAACCCTAAATATTGCTTTTCGCTTGATGTAATTAAGTCCTCGTTCCTCTTAGTGTTCGTCTATGGCAACAAATGTACTGAATAGATGTATCCAGAAACAATTCTCATATTTGATTTCTTTTATTCTCTTACTCACTAACATGAATTAGGTCAGTGAATATGTACGAGATCTATCGGGATGCATATTTTGTTGACTTTGATGGCCGAAAGGACTAGAGTCATGTAATGGAGCCACATTATGGAAAAACAGCTGATTAGAGAATATTACGGAAGTCGATCAACAGAGAACAAAGGAAATAATATCGTTAGTATTGAGAACCACGAAATTCAAGCCTCTTGGGGCTACTCACAAATGAGTTAAATGGGTCTGCACATGCTAATGATTATATCATAAGAAATAAGGTTACTTATTTTAGCTTCTATTGATTCAACAGCAAAGATAAATATAAGCAGTCAACTTCAGGTAACTGTTTAATAATATCACACCAATAAGAAGACTATAAGCATACTTTTAAGATGGTGGTTGGGGGTAGTGAGGAAGAAACCCTGGACCTAGTGTTCATGCTACATGGCACTCGTCAGCAGGGTGTACGTGTTATCTTGAAGGAACTAATGCTCCCTGACGGATTCGATCCCGTGTCACCCAGCTCCAGTCAGATAGGTTACAACTGAGCTATCCAGGCCACAACTGACCTCCTGTAGGACTGAGATGTATCTACAACTGATTGATCACTGGGTGGTGATCAGTGTCATGTATGTCAGGTCCTTCTTAATGCAGATCGAATCCTATCGACCAAGTTGCCATGTGGCCACCAGTCTAGATGACTCGACGTTGCATGTACTATGTTAAGATAAGATGATGGTTGGAGGTAACCAGGAAGACCCTCTTCTTTGGTGTCCGTAAATTACAAATAGAATCTTACCACATGGTTAATTTGAACATGAATAGGATGAGAAGGCAAAACGTGCGGGAAAAAAGATAAGACGCATGCATCAGCTCCGCAAATTATATTCACCAGTCTGCGTTAGTCACCATCGACTTTGAAGATATTTTGAAGACTACTCAGTATATCTGAAGGAATGAACTGATATTCACTTTTATAGACTATATCTATTTAACATGCATACTATGTAACAATAAATGTTGTAATTTGTAGATCATACCTGTAAAAATGGCGTGTGCCTCCCCTTGTAGAAATATATCATATTAATATATTAAGATACCCAGTGGGTGACTCAACGCCCACTGATCACTCTTCTAACATGGCAACGATCCAGCTAGGTAGATGATTCATCTTAGGCTCAAGGATATTTCGCTGGCACTACACCTTGACAGACAATTTATTCTGTTGTTAAACCGACCAGCATATACCATTTAAAACGTTTTGTGTATGATTCAACCGTGTATGCGCGAATAAGCATCTAGATTGCGGTGTTCTACACTTAATGAGACTTTGCAAGCAATCTGGTTTACTTTATGGTTGAAGAAACTGAATCTTTAACAAGTAAACTAAATACCTTTCAAAATTACAGTAAATGGTTTCATTTGCAATAACCTAAAGATTTATCAAATCAAACGCCTGTGGGTAATTACAAATATGTGAAGCTATAACCAAACTATTTAGACATTGGACCTTTATGAATTGATTCATGCCTACAAAACCATCTTTTACGCGAATGACTTACATCCAAAAACATGTATACCAGTGACACCTCCTTTCACAATAGTGACGGATCAAAAAATAATGTATCAGCTGATATGTAGTAATGGAAAACTTAAAGCGCTTACGGATGGCGGACGCTTTATTAAAATACTTGTTTTCATAGTCAAAACGATCGTAAATATTTCCCATCACATAATTTCTTTGTACATTCTAGAATGGTACGAAGCATTCAGATATTAAACATGACATGAAAAAGACAACCGTGTGAATGTTGAATAATTTATTAGTATATAAACTTATGGACGTAGGAAAAGAAACTATACATGTATTGGTTTCCGATTTAAAATAATCATAGTATACAAGATATATATTTATTCATGAGGCCTGGCAGTCAATAACAGATCAACTTCTTCTAACGGTGTTCTTAATCTTAATTCACGTTCCGATAATAAATCAACAACTTCTTCAACATCTTCTGGACAATAACGAACTAGATCTGTATACAGAGCCTAAAATGTAAAAAACAATATTGTACACCCAAAACTGACTATTTTAGTTGAAGTGATGAACATGAATTGCTACTAAATGACTGGTTAGTATTGTATAAGTCAACATAAAACAAACTTTTATTACGTACGAGCAGAAAATGCAGTGGAGAAAATTTGACAGGATTATTTGTAATAACTTTAAATAAATCTCAGTTCGGTATTTCAGTTAATATCGACAATAATACCAACTGAATTTACTAGCTAAATCAAGAACTTCTGTCGCTTTTCAATATTTGTTTCAATCAATGAAAAATTTCAGTAAATATCAATGGCATGCAACTTAACACTGCCGGCATGATTTTGGCAGAAAGTTGAACTGTTGTGGTACTTCAAAAGTAAGTAAATTCCAATTGTCAATCATGATATATAGTATTAGTAGAGCCTATTTCAAACAGCAACAATCTTGAAAAAAGACACGAAATACAGCAACTAATAGTATAAGAGATTTTTCTGACTACAAAATATGGTCTTCATAAGTTAAAGGATACAATTAACATGGTACCTTGCTTAACGTCTCAGTAACTTTTAAGAAGTACCTTATAATACCACTTTAACCTTTTAAAATTCTTGGTGCGATCGTTGATATTCACCTTAGTAAATGATACACAATAGCCCAGATACATGTTTTCTTTAAATTACCAGACAAACCTTTAATTTGTTAGCAAATTAAAAGCACCCATAGCATTTAATCTCCAACTAATGACCTTTTTATTGTATCTTAATAACTGTTAGCCGTTTAATAAAATGAGAAAATTAAAAATGATGGAATGTAAATAATGGGAGAAACTATAATTTACGGACGAACTAATGTAATTAAAGGTAGCAAGTCTTGGGCTTTGGCGCGCAATTCGTCTATTCATATGGTTAAATAGCATTTCGTCAATAAAGTTGATGCCAGTTTGTGATGAAAACCCTAAATTCTAACTCTAAACCTTACTCTTAATTCAAAACATTATTTTAACCCCCAGAATGTATGTGGTATCCTCAAGGTCACTTCAGCATCGCTCAAAGTTCAACCATAAATTATAGTCTCACTAAATAATAAGAAAAATATTCTGAATGAAATTACTTTAGCCCATGGAACATCTTCAACAGCTCGGTAAAAAACTGCTTTTACAGCTTGACGACGTTGACGAGGATCTAAATTATTTGTAATAGTTGTAGTAGATGTATTAGAAGTATGAGGTGGACCAGCCATCCAACCAAATGCCATATAAGCTCTCCATATAACTAAACGTAAATGCGCCGACCAGAATGACGGTGTATTAGCACCTAGAGCTACATGAATCAAGTTTCCTTCAGAAGATATAAATGATGTAAGAAATGGACTAATTTGCACAGCTTTCTCAAATGCATTACGTACACGTTGATCACTTACGGAATTTCTTCCTATTATTATTAAAAGAAATATATGGTAGTTAATTAATTAATCAAATGTTTTATTGTTTACTTGTAAAATTTTAGTTAAATATAAAAAATTTCTGTAAATTATTACAAGTACAATAAACACAATGATTACAGAATGTCATTTTATTGATATCCAAGAACGAAGAGGTTCATTATAGTGTTTAGATGGTTTAAACCTTTATGGCGTTTTGTGCACATTCAAAGACGTATTGTATCTATAAAGCATATCTACCTCTTGCGCTAATGTATTTGTTTGTTCATTTGAGATATTTGCACTTACTGGCACAGTATTACTCTCGTTGTGATTTACAGGTAAGTTTCATTGAAAAACTATTAGCAAGATCACCAGACTAGTAGTATCATCAATCAAATTTATTTTCATAGCATTGCTGCTATCGACTTAAGTGGGCTCATCACTCGATAAACAGTCTGGAACATAAAGAAGTGATTATTTAAAACGAATTCAAATTATTTTGCCAAGAAAAATAATTAGTTTGTTTAGAATTCAACGATTATTTACTAGAACTATTCGATATTAGTTGAAACTGTCAAGCTAATTGATTAGATTAATCAAGATCATTTATAAAACAGCATAAAATTATATGCATCAATAAAAAGTGTATCAAATACATTATAAGCAGAGATAGATGGTGGCTAGCAGTGAGATCCAGAACGCACATTTCTTCCTATTAGGGGCTCTTCAGCTGGATATACCTGCATTCCAGAGTTGATGTCCACTCCGGGACTCGAACTCAGTAACGTTCTCTTCAAACGCTATCGCACTATACACTTAGCTGCCTAGTCCAGGTAACCACTAGCTTGTTCAATTTTCAATCCATATGTATTGGTTGTTTAGATCTTCTCATTGGCCAATAAAAGACTGGTCAATTGCAGTCCTAAACATCAATGAGAAGATCCAAACAACCAATACAAAAATGTATCAAATACAGTTTGAGAAGCATAAAATTAAAACAAAACAACTGAATAAATACATAAAAGCCAGTGTTCAATACCTACCATCACCATAATCACAAGTAACACCAGCAATTAAACTCGTCCATCGTTCTAATTCTAAACTTAAAATGAATAAATCTAAAACATTTGGTAAACAAGCAGAACATAGTTCTAATTGATGACCAATAAAACTATTGACTTCTGCACCAATTGATCCTTCCAAAAAATTAATATTTTGTTGTTGATTTTGTCGAATATTTGAACGTGATATACTATTCAGTGATTGTTGAATAACAGATTGAGAGGCTAACTTTGCTACATTTTGTCTTAAATGATTTAATTGATGAATAAAAGAAGCTAAGAATAACGGTGGTAACAGACCATGACATGAAGATGCATTCATCAGAGATAGGGGTAATTTTCTATTTAAAAAATTAAAAGAAAACAAATTCGAAAACACAATGAGTTACATTGGAAAATAAGAGGATTTTTTTAACCTACTTTAACACACACACATAGATATACATTGAAATAGTAATATTTCATTGGAATAGAGACGTCAAGAAGTAGACAAGATAATAACAGGTAATTCTTGGTTTCACGAAGAAAATCAATAACTTTACACCTATTTTAAAAATATTCATATCAATTGACCAGAATAACTTAATTTAGTACTCGAGTAGAGATGGTTTTACCGCAAATATCAAACACGTCTATTATATCACAGTTAATAATAGAGAGTAATACTAATGACTAAATGAATAGAAAAATGGTTGTTTAGGGTCATTGTTCCATAAATCCACCGAGAATTTTACTATATGATTAGGATAATAAAATATGTTACAAGTATGCAATGGTTATTTACACAACAGATGAACAAAAATCTAATGACTGAAAAATAATGAGTCTACTTAGCAGTAGTAGTAGTAATAGTAGTACAATATAGCACAGATAATAGAGCCAGAAACACGTAAACAAAGGCTATAAATTAATCGAAAAATAAGATTTGTAATGATACTCAAAAGTGTTATTGTAATCCAGTTGTACCAAGGGCAAGCTTCTTTTCTATAACAATTAATGATACTATTCAATAGATCAAACCAAAGTAAATGATGAAGTAACACTCTAGATCACAATCCAGTAGGAGTTACTTGTGAATAGAATATATTCACTTTCTATTAAACATACTAGTTTCATTAAATTAAAATTCAAGAATAATTCCTAGTGTTCTCATATTCCCGTACATTTTTTAGATAGAGTTTTATACCTTCTGTCACAACATTATATTTTAATCAAATCAAAATACAATATTTCTTTCATAGTGATCATGTATGCTTTAAATGGTACAACTTCGAAAGTGATAAAAAAAAGAACTTTTAACACTGGTATGAAGTTGAACTAAAGCATCTAGCCGGGTAATTATTAATATTCAATGATTCCCTACACTAAAGTTAACATACAGTAAAAACTTTTCATGTGTGAACTAGTTAAATACACAATAACATTTCAAAGAGAAAAATAGATGTGATACAAATAATAATAATAATAATAATAATAATAATAATAATAATAAATATTGATACCTTTGATCTAATGAAATCCTTGATGGAAGAAGATAACTTAATTGTGATGGAAACATTAAATCCATTAGTATATCACTTGAATGATATTTATTATGTTTCATTATTAATTGAAATAAATGATTTAAAAGTGGACGTCGATTGCGCTGACGTAGAGCACAGAATGCAGATAAACCGCCAATTGTTAAATTAATAAATTTATTAGTACAAATACGATTTTGTAACGGTGCCGGGATTAAATCATCATTATCATCAGATAAATTATTATTTTCTGACCAACGACTACTTGATTTTGAACCAAGAGGATAAGATTCGTCTAAATTGATAGATAGAAATTTACTACATAATCTATCAATTCGTCCAAGAATAGGCAGTAGACTAGCAAGTGATGAGTCTAAAGCCTGGAAAATAATTTTAGAAAAAAACAGCTTGATTAGCACTAATGACTATTTAATCAAATTCATACGTAGGTTATATTATTGATAGATTGATTTCAGATGGGGTGCCGTTGAAAACCAGGGAACAATGGATAGCTTTTTTAGCCCTAGTACGGAGCTTTTCAGTAGTACCCACCTACAACTCCAGAATCTTTCGATCATATAGCAAACCCTTAACCATCAGAACCACCCGATCAGTAGCCAGTGTTAAAAAAATATAAATGGATAAGCTCACATTACTGAATGTTCTTATATTTCTTTTCTTCATCAAATCATCCTTATACAGTACACCTCCTAGAGATTATTATTCACACTTAAAACATTTATATATTAGACTTTTATACAACACGTCATTTGATTCATATATGGAAAAAATAGATTATTCAAGTTCAAATAGCTAGAAAAATTACATCTTCAAATATTAAAACAAAATAATGAAATATGATGTGTACTAAGATATGTATGAAAGATAATGCAGAATGCAAATAATGAGTATTTGAAAACTATCGGCAAAAAATGAGCGAAAACAGTGTATTCATTTTGTGAAATTACACCATACTTCATCAATTGATAAATAATGTTGTCTCGTTATGGACACAAAAAGAGCGTCTAGTTTTCTTGTAGAACATGTAATTTGTCTATTTACCTATCAAATATTTGAGTATGGTACGCAGCAGTTTGCTGCCTACTACTTTGTGAACATGAAACATAAAAACGAGATGAACGTGTTATTGCTAGATTCAACTACAGATGCCTTGAAGTAAGTACAGGGGAACACCTAAAATAATAATGCTTAGGTTAGGTGAAAGTAATAAATACAGATGATAAATCGATAGATAAGGCTGTAAAACGTCATTTATAACTAATTTTTCTAAACTTTTATTCGAACTAAAGTCCTTAGATGGTTAAGTGAGAACATTAATCCTCAGAGGTTTATAGGCGAAAATATATATATAGGTCAGTATCAGTAATGAGGTATGAAATCAATTAGTTTCTGAGTGAGAGCAAAGGCAGTTGTATCACGTTGTTATAATTCAAACATTAAGTAGACGTTTTCAAGCTTTTTTGGAAAAAAATTCATAAAACATCACTAACTCGGTTTACCTTTTCATCTGTTGTTAAAAGATCAAACATTAAATTTAAATAGCATAGAATAGGGACAGTACCAAGTAGACCATCTAAAAACTCTTGATAGTTATTAATTTGAGTGGTTAAATCCTCTGGCAATCCAACCAATGTTGTCCATATAGCTTCAATACGCTTACCAAAACGATAATTAGTTTTCACAATAATTGACGGTAAAATTTCACTGGTAGATTGTTGTTCATATGAATGGTAAACACCACCAATTGCGATATATGTTAGTAAATATAATACACGATTTTCTTCATTGAATCCTTTTTGACAACTACCTGATCCAGGGCATACATCCAGTTCTAAATCAATATAATCCTGATAATTTTGTTTTCCAGTGTTAAGTAAATGTATAAAAGCAGGAAAAAAAGTGACGCAACAAAATAAAGACAACAGAGAATTAATGATTTTAGAGTGACTAACTAAACTGGATACTAATTTAACACAAGAGAACAGTAGAATTGATCATAAATGTATCAGTGCGTAATACGAATAGCACAAACAATTTAACTTGGGAAGTGAAAGCAGTCAAGTTAAATCAAACCCACAAAATGCATTAAATGATATTTAAAAATCAAGATGGATATACTCAGATTCTTGGAACTTAAATCTGATAAGAACTATACCATGAGATGCTTCAAATCTAGAATAGTGTGCTTTCAAAAGTAGTTAGTAAGTCAAATCACTCGAATATTAAACATATTGCAAGTTGGCACTTAATTAGGTTTTGGTAATCAATTGGTGGAAATGCCTATCTGATCAAACCAAAACAGAATCTGAATTAACAATATAACCACTCAAAATATTGAGCTACAGCCTCATTGTACATTACATCATTACAGTAAATTGAACAACGTGGTAATCGTAATCTCAAATTGAATAAATGTGACTGTAAAATATGTGGTCTGAATTCTAAAGAAATATTTTGTAATGTATAGAAGTTAGCTGGTGAACAAAATCATTGGATTAAAACCAACAAGTTTGAATATATACATATGTATATACGTGGAGTATGAACATCCGATAACCTAATTGGTGAGGTTCTTTACAATATCCCCAGACAATAGATACGTGATTTTCACATAATGCAGCACACTTTTACAAGGTACAAAAATAATATATAAATTGAATAAAAAAATTTTTCTTCAAACAACTAGATATACCTGTAGAAGTTTCAATCTAGGAGTATATACAGTTTGATGAAATTCAACCAACTTATCCATATCATCAATTGATGGTCCGAAATCTTCCGGTATAGGATACATGCTTAAGGCCGAATCAAATATGCGTCTTGATTCTTGAATTGGAATCCCAGCATCTTGACATGTAGCCGTTACAAGTAAATCATGACTTATTTGCCAGAAACCTTTAGCGTAGGATCGCCATAAATTTAAATCTTTTTGGTTTTTACCCTCGGATATGATTGTCCGACCACAAGTGCGCCAAATGGATATAGCAGTCTAAGTTGAAATGTTAGGAAAAGATAGCAATTACTTTAGTATAATGATGAAACTGGATTGATATATTACGAATCTGAAGTAATTTTTTACCCTACTGTGATGCATCAGCTGCAATCTGGTACAGGAAATCTCACAATTTTCAGATTAAAACATAACACTAAAGTATAAAATCTGACAGTTTGTCTGAAACATCGGGAAGTAATGGTGTATTTTCTAGTTTGATTCTGAAAGACAACAGAAGCCTTAGGTGGTTGTAGGTAGTCAACAAGAAGCCATGAACCTAAATTTCATGTTAGCTGGTATTCGCTAACAAGATGTACTTGGAATCTTAAAGGAACTGATGTTTCTAGTGGAACTCAGACAAGCATCAACCAACTTCATGACTAAGGTATCCGGTTTACAAACGACTTTCAACTACCCAACGGCAAAGTATTATATATATGATACAATTTTCATTAATATATAGATGCAAAGAAAAAAATAAGAGACACTTGGAAGAACATGTAGAATATGTTGCAGAATTTTATCGTCCCACTTAAGTAATGTCTTTACACGTTGCAAAGGTTAATAGACGAGTTGAATTACAGAACATCGAATTTCTAAGAATTAGCATCATAAGTAGTATAATATTAGTTAAGTAAAAAACTATCATTAGTTCATTACTTACCTTAACATTAACTAGATGTGTTTGAATAGCATTGGAAAGACGTTCAGATGCCAATGTAAAACGTAGTTTACTCAACGTTGTACGCCAATTTTCCTTAAGTTCAGTAGGCCACCATGATGGAATTTCATTCATTTGAGTAAGTGCAGCATCAATAAAACAACGATGGGCTTGTGCCCAAACATCTTGATGTTCATTAGCCAATTGTGATGGTGTATTCAATTGTCCTTTATTGTTACTATCATTGTTATTAGCTCGATTATGTGTAGTGTCTAAATTACTCGACATCCATGATTGTGATGGACATGGTGTTAAACCTTGACGTTGAATGCTACCTACAGATGCCAAATCATGTACAAGACGAATATCTAATAGTAGATAAATGAAGAAAAAAATGCACATAGTTTAGTGGATATGTATAATCTGTTAAATGTCCATAACGTACAATTTTTAAGGGACAATAAATATACTGTTATGAATAAAGGTTAGTATTCAGACAACAGTATACAACCACTTGTTTTTCACAGTTGAATTCACGTGTTGATAGAAGCTAGATCCCCATCGAAAACCTGGAAGCCGTCCAGTGCCTCCATGTTTTTAATGGGGATCTAGCTTAGATCAACTGGTGAATTCAACTGTGAAAATACTACAATCACCGCAAATCCCCATACTGATAGCAATCACCTCGTTTTTTTGTTGTCATGCTTTATCGACCCAACTTCGACCATTATTCAGAAGAAAAAAAAACAATGAATTGTATATTCGAAAGACATTTGTTCATTTGTTTAGTTTTGTAATGAATGTGATGAAAACAAACACTGATCATCCTCTCTAATAATTATTGCCATAATTTATTTTGTTTTTATCTCAAACAAAACATATTCTCTTCGATTTTCATTTCGTGTTCGCATCTCATTCATTCATTCATCCTAGTTAAATCATTCAACTTGCTATTGTCATTACCTGATTATGTTATGAATACTACTCTTCGTATTACATAATTTGCACTATGATCAAATGTCAGATTCTATTCTAAATTCAGGATTATTTTTCCGGATTTTTGTCAAGTAAATATCATAGTTAAATGTAACTATGGCTTTATAAATGGTATAGGTAAAAAAAGGCTTCCTTGCTCAGCTTTAATGTTTTGTTCTATAACTCAATCAGAATGTTTAAAGTACTCAGATCATTATACTAATTGATTTTTAGGTTAATATTGGAAAGGTTCATATTTTTCCAAAAGTGTGACAACATGATACTGTGCTGTTAAGGTATGAGGAGTTTTTAAATGTCAGATAGTTGAATTAATTAAATAAAAAGCGATATCATAAAAGTTAATATTAATATAGGACAAAAATGAAATGTAATATAATTAGACTATCTTCTAAAATCCTACCCATAGGAAAGTGATGAGATTTAGCTATATCACGATCGTATGCTCCAAGAAACTCTAAACACAATAAGAATAAGCGCTGTTGAAATAATGCTCTACGAGCTCGACTTTGAGGAGTGTCAGCTGTTGATCTTTCTTCAAATTTCCATAAATCTATTAGGCATGGTTTAATATCATCAAATAAAACTAATCTCTCAGGATCTTCATCTTCTATGTCTTTTTGATCCTGAGCGTTTAATACATCTGAAGGTAGCCAACCAACTGCTTCGCGAGCACGTTCTAGACCAACCCAAGCTTTTCCACGACGATATAAGATGGCTCGACTCTTTCCAAATGAACCATGGCCTGCAAGTGAAGGAATGCTCCCACGACGAACCCATTGATCAGCTGCAACTTCTGACGAAAGAATGGATGGAACAACATCTGGACCTGTATTTTCATAGGATTCATCAGGAATACCTTCTCCTGAACAACTAATCAATGCGTCTTCACAAGTGCTAGCAATAGCTAAACGGAAAAATAAACAATCATTCTTCTTAGCATATTATGTGTGATTCTAAAAGTTGTGCAAATTTATGGACTTTTCGTTGTGCTGAAAGTAGCAGGAACATATGCCAATTTAAACTATTATCAATACCTACGAGCAGCATTTAATAGTCATCGTTACCAAGATGTTACACTCGATTCCCTTATGAATTATGGCTTTAGACTACTAGATTGATATAATTATAGATTATATTTTTAGATAATAACAAATAATTTGCGTAGGGAGTCTTCTTTTCAGAAATAAGACAAACTAGTAAGGAATTAGCTACTCGATAGATAAATATACTAGTGAAGCAGTTTATTTATTTATTTGAAAGAAATTGCCTTTAGAGGATCATTGATAAATTTATTTTATATAAGATTAATTATAAGTAGTGTTATAAACATAAATAAATTCATACAAATTTAACGGGAATTAGCTACTTACACAAAAGTCAGTACTGAAATGTGTCGTCACAATTCAAGTAACAACTAAGTACAAATAATTATGGAAACCTTGTTGGATAGTTTGTGGAGATTTGCGTATGCTGAAGAAAGTTCCCACTAGGATGAATTTAATCCAGCTTCGGCAGTCAGTAGTGGCTAGTTGATTAATGGGTAAGACGATCAACTTTCAGTCACTAAGTTCCAGTACCAAACTCAGCTCCACTTCGGTTTGGACAGCCGAGTAGTACCACCAGCCCTCACGCCTAGAGTGTAGCCTATACTCAAGTACCTGGTGAATGAGTTGATTGACTGATAATGATAATTAATTTGATTATAAGCGATTAAACCAGTCAGATTTTCACCAGTAGACAGTGGGTTCGAACCCATCCCCATCTACTTCGGGTTAGACAAATGAGTAGTATGACTAACTCATATATAAACAGTGTGGTTTGCAGCCAAGAGCATAAATTTATATACGGTAGGTAAGTTCTATCGTTATTATTAGTGTTATTATTAATTAGGACGAGTTATGCAGTCAACCATAGCAGGAGTTAGGCAATTATCCATAGATAACATCCAAGGATTTTTATGTTACAGATTGTGATGGAGGTAGGATTCGAACCCACACCCTTTCGGACTAGTGCCTTAAACCAGTCTTGGACTACTCGGTCACTCCACCTACAGAACTGAATGAAATTAGAAAATTTGGACCGTTGGATATCAATTGAAGGATGAAAATGTTGGTTATACAACGAATCAGAAAGTATATGTTTTATCTTATTTCCAACTTATGTGATAGATATGTTACTGAGTGTCAGACGACGTTGTTATTCTCACTAACTTAACAAGATATGCATATATTTAGATATAAATTTATGACTATATAGCTTATGCTTTTAGTATATGGACGACAAAAAGCAAATTGTACTTTGATACTGCTTTTTCTTTTTATAACAATTCCGTTTATTGTGTATAAAGCACTCGATTTTGTGCGACTAATGAAGTGATATCAAAGTAAATAAGATTTTGATAATAAAATGAAGATAACATGGATTGTAAGCCCAAACCAAGAAAAAATGGATCAATTTATATACAAAGAAGTTGTTTACTGAAATAGTTGGTGAGGATTTGTTGAATTAAATACAGTTTGCGTCATAAACTAAAATCAGCTGATGAACTGTTGCAAAACAGGGAATACTAGAGAGCGCTTTCGAGGCACCATTCTAAAAAAAAACATGGTAGCCATTGGTTCGTTTCTATAAACCAGTCAGTCATGAGCAAAGGACAGGGCGCAATGTATTTGTGCATCGGTTCAATTTGCCACACTATATTAGCACAGCACGATGAAATTATCAAGAAAAACCTTAGAGCAGTAGAATTAGTAACAGTATCAGTGTTCTTAGAAAAAAATAGGAATAGGGAATACGATTCGAGAATAAAAAATTCTTTCATGAAGTAAAAAGTATGCAATAACTTTGAACTCAAGTTCTAGGGGAAAACAGTGTGAATGCATCAACGCTATTACGAACAACCCTAAACTAAGATGAAAAAATCGTCCAATACTTTTTGATTTTAAGTTTTATTTTAACTTAACTCAGTTTAACGAAAACTACCCCCCAAAACTGCCACCAAATGCCCTGGTACGGCCGAGAGTAGGGAGAGTCCGCTCTCCCTCTCGAAATGCTCTCACATAACCACACGTATATAGTCTCTGCCAGGGAAGTTCTACTCACTGCCTTCTCGTGGCAGGGGTGTTGTTTACGGAATTGAGAGGACGGAAAGCGAATGTCCGGAGCTTTAACCGGGTTGGTGGACATGAAGAGTCCACCTAGGGGAGTTGGAAAACCCTGATTCCAAACCACTGGTGCACATGGGCTCCAGTATCCTAAAGGAACAAATGGCGTATGAACCAATCGTTTGTCATCGGCTACCATGGGACTGCATCTCCTTACTATGCTCCACCGCCTTGTGGATCAGACCCTCAGGTCAAAGGCTCCGGGTGTGGCCCCCTCAGAAAACCACCTGCTTCGGTTTGGGCACCCAGGCAGTATCACAGTCCTCACACATATCAAATGAGATTTGTGTGGCGCATATGTATTTGGTGCCTCCTTGTACCAATATCTATGCGTTAAAATAAATAAAAAGAACTAAATTGTATTTTGAGATGGAATCCGTTAATTACATTCAACTAATAAACATTTTATTTTGTTGGTGAAGTCGCTTTATCAGTTTTCTCTACATGAATATATGATAGTATTGAGTGTGAAGTTAAATAATTGTAAAGTTACGGATTCTTGAAGTTTGTAAATAATACGAGTTAACTTGAATTATTCAGTGGTCAGCACAGAATTCGAATAACGAATTGATCAAGCGTGAGATTCTAGCAATTAAAGTTTGCATTTGAAGAGTAGACGAAAACTCTGATTAATTAGTATATCATTTTAGAAATAACTTTCAAAATCTATGAAAGTACAGAATATTATTCATCATAACAAACCGGTTAATTTTCCAGCTACACTAGTCCACTTAGAATGTAGTTCTTCAACTGACATGTCTGAAGTTATTTCGGAAATAATTGGTGAAATAATTTGATTTCTCTTATGACTTTTAGATAATTTTGATTCTTTTAGTCGCGATTTATCCTGTCGTTTATTTCGAGTTTTAAACCATCCATTCCAATGTTGTGAACCAGGTTGACCAAATCTAGGCATACCACTTGACCAAAATAATTCCATTTCTAGAATCCGTTGCTCAAATGAACTTTGTTCAATTTCTGTAGGACGAAAACAATTGAATTCAATAACAGCTTGCCATACTGCTAAAGCTCGTTCTGAATGTCCTGCTTGAGCTAACCAATGGCAATAATCAGCCAAGTAGTCTAATTTATGTTAATGAATGAAAAAAGAATATTATTAAATATATTATTTTTGGCACGAAATAGGTATACATATAAAAATAATGACTGAAATAAATGCTTATAACTCTAAGTGTTAAGCGATAATTTAATCATTTTTGTTCTGTTGTAAATTATTCATGATACATTTTACTGGTCAGTCACAATTTCGGAAACACAACTTATTTCTAATAAGTTTTTTACTATTTCATCTGTCAATAAATCACAATAACAAATTGTTATAATGTGACAGAAAAATGGTAGAATGCACAGATCCATCGGAGTTGTCAAAAACATAAAACAAATATTTAAGATGAACACAATATCTTGACGGAAGCAAAAGGTCAATAGGTAAGTACTTATCATCAAAGACCGAAGATGGTGGTAGACAGCCTTGTCGAACACCATTTGAGGTTGGTGATAATTCGCCATACGCTCTGACTCGACATGTAATGTTCGAGTAAAGAGCCTTCACAAAGTTTATGCACTTCTGAGGTACACCCTAATCTTCCCGACTACTGCTTATGCTCTTACTACCTGTACCACTACGGGATTTGAATCGACAACTGCATCTCTGTGCTAATGTGGTATGGCAACTTGAACTGATGTACGTACGTACGAAGTTCTACGTTGTTACTGACTGACTGAACAAACACTGCCACAGAACCTCTCGGTCAACAGTCAAATTCTACTTTTATGCATATATACAAATAGCCATATTACTAATTTTGTAATGGAATATGAAACAAAATTTACGTAGCCAATTCTTTCAATAATCTTTGTATCAAAGTGAGCTACGAAATATTAAAATTATAAGATACATTATCGTCAGATTTTTGTCTTTTGGACACAATAATCGCAAAATGAACGAACATACAATTCATTAATCAAACTTTATCGTCTTAAGAGGTCGTTTTACTTTCACTTTCATACACAGGAAGAATTTGTATTCTTAAACGTATCAATTTACTAAAATTGCCATTTCCACACAATAACTGATAATAAGCTGGTTCTGATTATTTTTACAGTTCTGACATAATAAAGCAAGCCAAAGCCGGTAGTTCATTACATTTGGTAATATTTTAATTTTTTAAGTGAATTTGGCGATGATATAAATGCAGATGGTTAGTTAAACTACAATCGAAACACTAGTAACTGGAATTCAAAGGGGTTCGAACACATTTTATGTAGCTATAGTTTAGTGGCTTAAGGAATTGGTTTTTAACAAACAGTGAGCAAACTTGCACCCATCAACACATATCTCCATTCAGGTATTAGACTGGTATTATTATTCACTACATGAAACGTGTATCTTAAACTTGAGCATAAGATATTGTATTTAGTTACCTAGTTTCACCAATTAGTTAACTGACTAGGTAGGGGGATCTATTTAATTTTTTTAAAAAAGTTAACGAAAGGAAATATTACCGATTGTTCTTTCTACAGTATCTGGTTGTGGTCTATGTGATAATATTCTTCCGGATATTATACCTGATAATGTTGATAGACCTCTCTTATAAACACCATCAATGCGTGAAAATACCCCATTTCCAACTCCTTGATTTATAGTAGTTAATGATGAATTCCGACCCATTAGATGCGCCGTATACCCACGCCACATGGGTACAAGTTGGGGATAAGTGAATACAAGCTGAGCCCAATCCCGATTAATTTGATCGGCCTGACAAACTTCCTTGTTAGATGAAGATTTCGAGGCACCATGAGCTTCAAGTTCAGCCACCAGTTCGTTTGTTTTAATTATGAATAATTTCAATGTCAAATTACCAGGATTAGCCGTAAGAGCTCGATCAGCCATTGATAACTGCTTCTTCAGTATAATAAGTCTGTCACTTTTAGAAAATTTAAAGTCAGAACATAACTGTTTCTGTTCAAAACCAGCACTTGTAATATGTAGAAAAGAAGCTCCTTTGTCTTGTATATCAATTAAATTGAACCACGAAATCAAATCACCTGGTCGATCGTAGACCCGACGGTTAAGTTCTTCACAAAGATCTAAAATATCATTGTTTCTTATTCCCGTTGTTGATGCGCAAGTACTAAGTTCATCAGGAAAACGAATTACATCTGTCGACATGCCACTTTTATCAGATGACTTGATAACGGTACTAGGACTTTGAATGATTGCCCTGCTTGACTTACTAAAATATCGCGATTTTTTTGTGACTCCACGTTTACGTTTTATTTCACAGCCCAGAAGATCATACAAATATAGATCTTTAAACCCCAATATTCTTGTTTTACTCTTCTGTTTAAATTGTGACACATGTTTTTCGTAAATACAACCGTGCTTATAAATTTCTCTGTTACAAGATCGATCAATTCTATATGCATTATTAATATCTAGTCCAGGAATGTCTTCCAAAAATACAGCAGTTGATGTGACTTTCTGATTCTTCTCTAATTTATGTTTTTTAGGAGAAGATGGGCGTTTAACTGATTTCGATTCTCTTCCCTTTTCAGTATTTGCTGCTTCTATAGATAATAGAATAGTAATAATACCATAAATAAAAAGTTCTACCATTCGTATGAACAGTGAGGTTTTGTTTCGAGTATGTGGAGCTCTGAAGCCAAGACGTCTTATCTAGATTTATTTGTAGAAATTATTTACAGAACTTACTGTCAAAAGATCCACTATCGATCTTTGGTTCATCACCAGAATAAGATGCACATGGAAACATTTTTACTTGATTGTTCGGAAATGTAAGCTTTCACAACTTAAAGCAAATGACTTATGCGTAGTCGCATGGCGACATAAACGATTATAAATCCGTCTGAAAAGATAAATAATACGAAGGATAATGAACAAAGCTTCCGGCTACTTACTAATATATGTATACATATATCCTGTATAGTATTTTTCGAATCGTGATCGATTTTAGTAGTATTAATTAGTCAGTCAGCTACAACGTACTATAGTTCTCTTTAGCCTAAACAGGTGAGTATTTTCGTAAGGAAAGCTTGATTTAGCAGCTTTTCATAGTTCAAAATTGTAAGGGTAGTTTTAACAAACCATTTGATTCAGAAGCACCAGACCAATAAAATGATCACCTCAAATTTGAAGATCTTGATACAGTTTCCAAACTTCAGTTGATTAACGTTGAACACAAATACTAAAATAACAAGCTGTCATAACCGTTAGAAAGCTTAAGTTTACAATTATAATGATTATCTTTGCATATGACCGTATTCAAGAAATCAGTTCACTTTCGATCTCTTTTCTTATATCAAAATGTGATTGTAAGATGTATACAAATTTGATTATTTCCTATGTATTTGGTCAGAAGATTTTCAACGAGACAGTAACCATACAGGTTTCTAAAACTCGCTGATGACTCCAAACTTTTGATCAAAACTTGTAGTTTCTGTCATCTATGAGGTAGTTAATAGGATATCACTCGTGCTCAAAATAACTATGGTTTATAGGCCTGCAAACAAATTTATGAATGGTATTGGAAAGCTGTAGATAACACTTCATTTTTAAATCTAATAAAGGTTTGAGATGTGGTCGATTGAACACCCAAATTTGATACACTTCATCGTTTTTGCAAACACACAGGTAAAAACTGTTGATTTTAGGGAATTTTATACCAATTGCTATGGGGCGATTACAAAATTTTCATTGTTTATATGAACTGGCATGCTTGAGGATATAAGATAGTTTAAATAGCTTACGCATGAACCTATCAAATGAGTGATTTAGCTAGCCAAGTGTGAAATTTTTAACTAACATACTCAAAGTATTTTGCAGATAGCCTAACAGGCCTTGTCACATATACCCACATCGTGACTGTGCTTTTTTCAATTCTTACTATACCAGTGAGAGAGTTCTAACACTGATGTCTGGTTGTTCAGACGAGTAACTCAGAACTGACTGGAAACCATTTAAGGATCCATTTAGAATTTTATCGATCATTATTTTAGCTGTCTACCTCAAGTATGCCCCGAATCCGCTTTTATACTAACTTGTTTAGATACTTATTTTTTTAGGCTACTACTCCTAGTAAGTTTAAACGATTAATCGTTCCCATTCATTTTTAATGGATGGCAAATTATGTCATTGGTAAGGAACGTACCAGAATAATTGCGTACTTTTATAATAAAGTGGTAAAGTGGTTTGAGTAAATCCCCCAGAAGCTTTATTCGACCACTGAAGTTAAGAAAATGTTTATACTCAAAGCAAAACTATCGGATAATAATCTACGTAAAAGGAGGCTAAAGGCTGTGTGGTACATGTATATAATTTTCTTGCGTAAAGTTTGAGATAAAGTTGCACCTGAAAAATGAATACTGGTTGTCAAACTCTATCGTTATAACTATATAAATCATGAGTAACTAGTTTTTGTTGCACACTAACTGCTTGGCAATTAAATTTTAGCGAGCGACCAGTGCTTTAAGACTGGTGTTCTTGAACTGAGTTTGGTCACCAACTAGATGAATCAAATAAGTTACGTAAACATACTATTTTCCCAGCATTTTGCAGGGTTAATGTACATTAGTATGGGGTAATTCATGTAGTACAAACACTGATCCACAGATGTCCAGATTTTCATTACACGAAAGAATCAGACAAAAACCACAAAACAGAAAAAAAGTAGATTGAGGGATAGACTATTATTCTCGGACTTGAAGCTTCTTTGACATATGACGGTGTACAACGACAAGACGTTGAAATCAGAAACTAACATGAATCAAATATGTAGCCACTAAATTTAGTTGGGAGCATTATCAACGAAAATATGCACAAGGAAGAAACTATGCACTGTCAAAACTCAAAATGATTTAAAGATTGGTGAACCTAATGTTTAGGTACATTGATAGTACATAGTAAAAATATAGAAACTTCAAGCCCAGTTGCTTCTAAACGATCAACCTTAAATTGATGTTCCTCGCTCTGTGAATTCTATCTACATGCAAAGCGTTTGCTGAGGAACTTATTGTAGCAGCCTTTAAAAAATAGGAACTGAATTCAATTTTAAGGGACTGAAGAACAACTTCCTTAGAGCTCTATTTAAAATCTCTAATAAATTCCTGGCATGACTTATATGACTTAAAGCATTCACATTTCAATACTACGTATGGACTGATAATACTACTGGTTAAGGAATGTGATGCTTCAACACATATTATAATCTGTTGATTTCCCGCGTTATTTAACAAGGACAGAAGTGTTTTTTGCTGAGCAAATTTAATTGTTACGTACCAAGACTACTGAAAAAACCGTATCGGAATATGAATCTAATTGAATATATTTCAGTTAAAGTATTCGCAGAGTAGTTTTTATTTCCAAAGTGGTATATCGTCGGTACTTCTGAGTTCTCGTGTTTATTTTATTCGTTAGCACTTTTAATTCTAACAATCTACGGCTTTCCACTTTTTTTCATCAATTTCTTTTGTCTCTGGGTATTATCACATCTAGTTTATTTTTGAAGACTTATGTTTCATGGTTGGACAATGCCAGAAAAACAATTGCCAACGATCAGGCTGTCGTTACCCCACACAAGACGGCGAGGCTATAATTCACTCATCCATCTGGTTATATAGAGTTTCGGTATTGTAACTTAGGTCAGTTCGTGATGAAAACCCTAAATCTATTTTCTAACCTTAACCATCAAGTGTAGATCATAATTCTAATTCCCCACACTGGTTTATAACCCTCATTTTGACGTAGTCATTAAGCGGACATTCTAAAGTTTGGTCTAGCTTCGCTCAAAGGTCGTCCACAAATCATAGTCTCTCCTGGGAATCTCGAACTTACCAAGTGACCTTCCAAGGTTGTGGTTTAAATTAGCCTCGCAACCAGAAGGACGTTAAATGGTTCAAATGGTTGTGGACGGCATAGAAGAAGCTTTCGCTTAACGGGCTTCCATCTCTAGTAGCGATGGGTCACCAATACCTCCAGGCAGGAAACTAGGTGTATTAACGATAATAGAAGAGAAAGAAATTGGTAAATCATAGTAAGATATCCTTAGTGCTTAAGAATAGGTCAAGTTTCGTCTTAAAGGACTCCTGAGAAGTCGCTTGGAATAGCCAAGACGGCAGTGAATTCCAGCATTTGACAACCTCTAAGGATCAGTAGTTGTGTCTACAGTCCGTTCTCTTGTGTTTTGTCTCCAGCTTCTGGGTGTTATCCTTAGGGTTTTGTTGGAGCTAAACTTAAATAGATACTTAGCTCCAGCACAAACCTAAGGAGTAATACCCAGAAACTAGAGACAGTTGGATTCATTTAATAATTGTTATACAATGTTTTCAGAGTATCTGATAATAGTTTTTGCGTACGTCTGAGTCGAGAACTTCAGGATCATTGTGTAGAACTGGTTATAAACATGATTCTGGCTTAGCACACCTAAATGGTTGGCCTAAACAGCGATCCAACAGACACTTCCTCTGGTTTCAAAGATGAATGTATGCCTTCAACGTCAAAATTGGAAAAGGCTGTTCTAGAGAAGATTTCGGTAAACAATCACTTGTGCCGATAAAACGGGATGGTAAGGACTCGACAAGGTATGGATACTCATTGTTGCTTCTTCGTTGTCTCTGCCTGCGTTTCCCCTGATCTCAACTCGGATGAAGAATGTAAATCTTGCGGAAAGCCTTCCACCTCCCTTTGAAATGCTAGCTGCGCATATGTGATGGATCATACGGTGCTCAACTCGGCGAACAATTAACGGCAAACATCTTTTGCAATTGTGTTCAGATAACTGTTTATTTCTGACAAGCACCAACTTTAAGCATATGCGTAAGCGCCAATGGTACTTTGGTATTTGCCATAACACTGATTTCATCGTGCAAACAGATGTGTAAACTTGAGTCAATATACGCACATACCAGGTTTCTTCATGCTGTTTTTGACTAACTGAACTATTTTTTGAGCACAAGGATTGACATGGAGTTTGTCAAGCACCTTGCTAGGTAAAAGTGTGACCATGTCAAATGAGGTAGACAGCTTGCAGTTTGCAAGTCAGTTCAGTTCACCATAATGTCACTGATCACTGAATAGTGAATACGTAACACGGAGTAGCCCATATGATTTGGTGTATATGTTTGACCGAACAACTTCAGCTAGGATGTGTCCAGTAAAACTAACGAGGGCAGCATTTACGTTAAAGACTTACAAGGCCACTTATTTTTGTGATTTATTTACTGCTACAGGTCAATACCTACTGCTGGGGTATTGGTGAAACCAGAAGTTTAAACGTAATGAGCTTGCCGTTGGTAAACACTTTTCTGATATTCTGACATGTCCAGAAGCATATAAAAGTTTTTAATCGATCAAATATCTTCAGTCTCGCAAACTATAAGCATATTAGATAAAAGCTCTTATTCTTGACACGATGAGATGTAAAAGAACTCCGAAGGAAACTTTGTGGTTATGTAACACGAAGAGCGGGACGAAACGAAAATAATGTGCTTTGAAAGCCCTATTGTCACTCTAGAGTTCGTTGCTTTTTAGCCGGTTTGCATTTTCTAGCGACGTTTTGCCGTGGTCGTCAATTATCGGGAATGTTGCCTTTCGATTTTTCACGAGAAAAATAAACATAATAAAAGTTTTCTTCCAAATAGGCGGCTTTAAAGCGGTCAGTGCTGGAGTTGTCGTCAGTTTGTTCCAATGGCGGTAGAGTAATTATCATTTCGAAGTATCCATCCTGTGCCGTTTCAATGAATTGCGACGTACCAAAACGTCGAAACGAGCGTCGTGTGCTCCTTACCAATTTCCTTCTGTTTTATTTGTAGTTTCTGGGTTCCCAAAGACAACTTCGGCTGAAGGTCAGTGTTTTCCTCTAAAAAATGAGCAAGTTTAGGACTGTTGATGCATTGGGTGCAGTTCAAAGCAGTTATACGAAACAGTACGTCTGTAACTGCACAACCTGCTCCAAAAATGTTTTGTATATCTGAAGTTGATGAGCCTTCTAACTGAGCGCTTGAACCGATCTTTTAAGCTCTTCGAATATCCCCAAGCTAACTCTGCACGACTAATTGAGCATGATGGAAAAGGGGCGAAATATAGAAAAAAAAGCCTTACCACAAGGTGTGTTTATCTACAGTGGATTGAGGGTACTTACGGTATTTTCGATGATTTCGGGCTTCTGGAAAGTTCTGAAACCCTACCAAGTACAGCAGCAGGATGGGCAACCATCCAGTCAGAATTATGACACACGACCCTTTACTTTCTAGATATCTCCAAGAGATTTCTATTCAATGTTGATTGGATAAAATGCTTCATAGGATTTCGAAGGTCCCTTTTATCTTTTTCGATGAATGTTATGGGTCTTCTCAACAGTAACAAATGTGGGATGTGACGTAGTTGTAGAGACTCTTGAGTGAAATGCTTGTCCAAAGACGAGCTAAGAGAGAAGGTAAGGGTTTTAAGGTCAGTAAACACAGTTTACCTCCGACCTGCTAAAGTCTCATACGACACAATACATGGCTAGAACTCTCTTGACGAGCGTTTCTCGCAACTCTCTTGAGAATAATGATCAAGTTTGTTAGGTGTTGGTTACCAATCGTAGCAGTAATCCACCAGTTACCTAGTTGGATGCGTCTATGAAGATACTAATTAGGTTCTTTGATGTCATAGTGTGTGAGCAAAGTTGCTTGTGTGATAGTTTCTTTAATTGTGGAGCGTGCTGTCGTTCAACCGTGAGTATCTGTTTGGCTTCGGTCGGTTCCCGGTAAGTCATATTGGCTGCCGCTTCACTTTGTAGTAGAAGAATACCTAAAGCGTCAATAGTTTGCCCGAGAAAATCGAGGGATTTAGCTCCGACTTGATATTTCTAAATGTCTACCCAAATGCCATGCTTTTGAAGTCGTTTGAAAACAATGGCCAGGTGCAGAGGATGAGATTCTCTGCCACGACCTACTATCAAAAAGCCACGAACATATGTGCGTACAAATTTAGGTTCCATGAATAAGTCATCGACGAATTTCTGAAAAGTTTGGAAACGACATCTGTAGCTAAAGATATTTGGATTCACGGTTGAATCAAACCCATTCTTGAGAAAACAATCGTACTTTTTAAGGTAGCTATCAGGTTGTGGATGTGTGGCAAGGGGTGAAGTTCAGGAGCGATTTGAGCATCAAGTCTCTAATAATCACTAGTTGGGCAACAAGTATGTACTTTTAAGAGACCATATGCTAGTGAGATGCTCATGGGCTGTTGGATGTGAGATACGTTTCACGTCCATCATACACACGAATTTATAATCGACTAATCTTGCCTTTTTGGGACCTAGTTTAAGCGCTGTTCAATCTTCAGTAGTAAGGACCGAAGGTCTATCGATTTATAATAATCCTTGCAGTTTGTAGCACTGTGGAGGATCAGTCTCGTTCTAAATATATCGATAAAGGGTGTTGATATTATGTGTTTTGGTAGGGAATTCCAGTAATTCACAAATCGGTGCAAGAAACAAAACTCCAGACGTCAACGATATGACCTCGGTTTTTAACACTTCTTAGGATGTCCTCTCAAATGACCAGTCCTAGACGGAAGGGAAAGATAAGATATATTAATACCAAGGTCGTCGTTCGTTATATAATAAGCCAATATTTGCTCACCTCGTAATCTACGGTAAGATAATGGGAATAAGTTGTTGTATCAGTCTGTCTTGATCAGATAGGCCAGAGAGATCTACCGTTTTTATCCTTCGTCATTGGACTCGTTCTAGCATATCCGCCTCGTACTTGAAACAAGGACCCGTTGCTCGACTTCCATATTCCAAATGCGGTCTCACGAAAGTCGGGTATTATAATCTCAAGATTGTTTAGTTCAAATACTGAAATTTTATTTATTTATTTTTCAACACATAAATGTTGGTACAAAGAAGCAACAAATACGTGTGCGCCATATGTCACCTAATTTGTGAGTAGGCTGTGATATTGCGCGGGTGTTCAGACCGAAGCAAGTGGTGTTTTTAGGGTGCCACACCCGAAGCGTTTGACATCGATGTCTAATGCCCTTCTACATAATTTATAGCAGCCATCCGAATAATCTCTCCATTAGTTTGACAGCTACACTGGCTAGACTAACGGGTCGATAGTTATTGAGTCTCTGTTCCCCGCTCTATACATCAGACTAATCATTGGGTCTTTCCAGTCTCTTGGCAGTCTGGCCTGCCTCGGGCATATTAAACAGCAAATTACCTACAATAATATTCGATGAGATTAAATTCTCATCAGCCACGCCAGGGTGGGGTTCTGTCTTACTATCAGACTTTGGTAGTGTATTTATGACCCAGAATGGGAGTTCATCAATCACTTGCCAACCAAGTGGTTGTATCTTATAGATTTTTTGCTTTCATTCCATCATCTTTCTTCGCACAGGTCAAAGATAATATGCTCATAGCCTCCGGGATTAGTAATGTTTTGTTCGTACAGGAAAATATACAAAGCCAATGCGAGTTTGGCTTCGAGCATCTTTTGTATGCGGTGGGACTTAAGCGGGTACACATCTTATGGAACCACTTATTACATTCATCGCATTGCATTCCTTCCTCCATGGAGAATAAACAATTCGGCTGTCCACATATAGCATGGCGTCGAGTTGAGGTTAACAATGAACACCGCTACAGAGAAACACGTACCAAGTAGATCAGAAGGCTCAGTTGAACGTAACCAAATAAATCCATAAAATCCCCGAGAAGCCAAATGTCAGAACACAGTTAATGGACCAAATAGAGATATATTCGCTGGTGATCTCGTGGTATCGAAAAGATACCGAGATCTTGCCAGAATACAAGCTTGGTTACAGAACGTAACTGAATTCGCGCGAAGTCACAATCAAAGTG